AGAGATGAGAGCTAGAAGACATGTAATACGTGACAGAGGGAGGAAGGAGGAGGGAAGAAGGAAATAATAGGGAGAGAGAAGAATGGATTTGGAAAAGGAGGAGAGGAGGTGAGGGAAGAAAACAGGAAAGGGAGGAAGAAGGTAAAGAGATAAAGCCAGAAAGAAATAGTTTTATAAAGACATATTCTTATCTGCTTATGTCTTACTAGTATCTGTCTATCTACCCACACGCACGCACACACACACAACACACACAACACACACACACACACACACACACACACACAACACACAACACACACACACACACACACACACACACACACACCACACACACACAACACACACACACACACACACACGTAAAATCATCGAAATTTGTTTGTCAAAGGGAAGGCTTATCTTCATGAAATTAATAATACGAAAACAGGAAATCACTGTCATGTATAAGGCCAAGTATCAGATAATTAACAGTAATTGCATTATGATAATTCCTAATGTTGCACGTTCCGATATCCTTGTTGCTGTTAGATCAATCGTCATCACAATCATTTTTATTATCATTAATATCACTATCATGATTATTATCATTGTCTATCCTAAATTCTTGTTATTATTAGTATTGTCTTTGTTCTTGATTATATAAATGATTGTCATCATTATCAATATTTTCCTTCGTGATTATATTTATCGTCTTAATCATCATTACTATCACCATAAATGTTATCATTGTTATGATATTATCATGATCGTCAATGCTGTTATTGTTATTATGATTGCCATAATCATTATGATCCTTTTACAATAATTGTTTATATCATAATGGTTATTGTTATTATTATTGCACTATTATCATATTATCATAATTGCCGCTGCTATTATCTTTATTACTGTGACTTTCATCCTTATTATCATTTTTATCGTTATGATCATCATTATCATTATCGTCAATATGTTTGTCATTATCATCATTATCATAATGATTCTTAAAACTATTGATGGTATTGTTGGTGAATTTTTTTCTTTGTTACTGTCATGGTCATAATCATTACTATTACCATCAATTGATTGTTATCATCACTATTATACATACATTACTACGTACACATATATATAATATATATATATATATATATATATATATATATACATATGTATATATATATTTATATATATATATATATATATATATATATATATATATATATATATATATATATATATATATATATATATATATATATATATATCATAAATGTCATTTTCATTATCATTATTATTATTTATTATAATATTATCATCAGCATTACTAATATCATCTTCCACACTATCCTCATCAACATCATCACTTTCTGTATTATCATCCTCCCCAACTGTATCAGCTAATATTGCTGCCATCAACTCTTTACAACAAAACAACAAAAGTGACATTGTAGTTATTACTGTCATTCTTATCATTGCAGCAGTATCATCCATCGTCATTATCATTATCCTCATTCCAACCATCACCATCATCATCATCACCATCATCATCATCATCATCACCATCATCATCATCATCATCACCAGCACCACCATGACCACCACCATCCTCATCCTCATCATCAACATCATCATCATCATTAATTCTACGATTTCTAATATCATTATAGTCATCATCTTATCATTATAATTATCATTTTTATAACATCGTACTTATGCCCACTTGCAATTGTTTTTTACCGAGTGTCTTTGTTCTGTACCAATATCGTTAGTAATATTATTGTTACTGTTATTACTTCTATAATGTTTGTTGTTACTAACTTTATCATTGTTATTATCTTTATTATCAGCTGCAAATTCATCCTCACAACAATTACTATTTTCCTAATTTATAACTTTATTTCATAATCCTATTTCACTTCCTATCATCATTCCTGTAACTATGAGTATTGTAGTTGTAAGAGTTAGTATTTCTGATAACAGCCTTTATTGATATTATCCTTTTGCCTGATTATCATCACTAATAACTGTGATTGCAACATCATTACCTTGATTGTTGATTATATTTTGATATCATTACTATTATTATTACCCTTATTATCAGTAACATCATAATCATATCATTGCTATTATCATAATTACCGTAGCCAGTACAAGTATTGTTGATAAATTGGCAATATTACTCTAACCATCATTATTTTATCGTCACAGTCATTATCATGTTCTTGATTGTCATTATCATTCTGTTAATTAAGTTTATACAATATTTGGGTTGGAGGTATTGTTGCCTTTCATCAATGCGCGTCTTTTCTTTTCGTTATAATCTTTATTTTTACTTCTTAAAGGAGAATTTGGCTAAACCTATTATGGCTGGTAAAAGATTTTCAAACACAAAGAAAAAGTATCGGAGAAAAAATTAACATCAGAAGAAAAAAAAAAATGAATATAAGCAATGTAATGAATTATTATGAATACCGTCATCATCAGTTATCAAAATAATTCTTATCAAATAATTAAGATAAAATAGAACACAAACTTAAACCAAAATAGAAACTTACTAAAAATGGCCAGTGTGATCGTTTTAAAAGAGTTCCATTTCCTAAAATTAAAACTCGCTTTTAATATTTCAAATGAATGCTCTTGTTTTTTTTTCTGATCACCTGTATTTCTATTATTTTTAAACCTTTCTTTCCATCGCTTTAGCAAAAAAAAATAAATAAATAAATAATAAAAGAAAATCTAAAAAATCAATCTGTTTTTTTACAAACTCATATCTTTATTAAAATATTATATTCTAGATGAAACAATTACTTCACGTATATCTTCCATGTAAATGAATTTTATTCTTTTTTTTTATATAGCAGATAAATGTTTTACGCCGAGAAAAAAACAAATAAATGCAACACAAATCAAGATGAACATGTTGGCTCTTAATCCCAACATTCTGCAGTTGCAACATATGATAAAAGATTGAGAACTCCTCGTATCTCTCCATGTTTATTTGTTTATTTATATTTTATGTGTACATGCATACACGCCCACTCCCAGGCAACCACTTACACAAACACACAGAACTTATACATTTTTTCAGCAGTTTTATTAATGATTTATTATACCCTTCTAATACATTATCCCTTATTAATGACCGTATATAAATAGTGTGATTTGCTACTGTATTTCGTCATTATAATTGTTGTTGTTTTCTTTATTATTATTATTATCATTATTTTTTCATTAAAGATATCAGAACTATGATGATACTTATCATTATCACCATCATTATCATCATTGTCATCATTATTGTCATTATCATTGTTATTGCCACTTTTTTAATCCTTATTATCAATGTTATTATTATGAATACCGTCATCATCAATTGTCATTATCATTGTCAATATCATTATTATTATAATCATTATGATTATTATATTATCATCATCATTATCATTATTGTCATTATAATCATATCATTCTCATTGCAATTTTATCATTTTTATTATTTATTTTTATTATCATTATTATTATCATCACTATCATTAGTATCATTAGCATCATTATCATTATCTTTATCAACTCTTGTCATCAGTATTACTATCATTTTATTACCATAATTATCAGCATCATAATTATCATTATTAATATTGTTATTATTATCATCATAATAACATTATTAATATTGCTCATCATGAACACCATCATTATCATTAAAACAAAAAAACTATTTAATAATCATGTTTTTTTCTGCATATATATATTTCATTTTTTCATCCTTACAGCTTTAGACTTCTGTATTACTGATATCTCTTTCTCTGTCTCTCTCTCTCTCTCTCTCTCTCTCTCTCTCTCTCTCTCTCTCTCTCTCTCTCTCTCTCTCTCTCTCTCTCTCTCTCTCTCTCTCTCTCTCTCTTCTCTCTCTCTCTCTCTCTCTCTCTCTCACTCTCTCTCTCTCTCTCTCTTCTCTCTCTCTCTCTCTACTAGTCTCTCCTCGTCTCTCTCTGCTCATCACTATCTGCTCATCCACTCTATTTCTGTCTGTCCCTCCCTCTCTCTTACTCTCTATCTATCTCAATTCCCCCCTCCCTCTCTTTCTCTCTCCCTCTCTCTTTCCCTCCCTATGAGATTATACCTGACAAAGCATAGTCAAAAACCATAAAGAAAATTGGATGAAAAAGTCCTGTTAATCGCGGCCGCCATCGCTCTGGTGATAAAAGGTAAATCAAACACAGAATTTCCGGGTCAAAAGCATTTTCCTTTAATTCTAAAAATGGTTTTGCACATTTCTCTTTATTTTCATTTTGTGGATTTTTTTTTTTTTTCTTTTTTTTCAAATTCATGTGTCTGTTTCATTTTGCCTTTTATAGATACAAAGGTTGTTGTACGAGCGTAAAAAATGATTGTCTGTGTGTCCGTATCCCCTCGTCCCCTTGACCCTCGTTCGAATACTCTCAAAATTGACTTAAACTTCACGATACAAATATTACAAAAGTAATTATCTTTTACAACCACACAAACAAAAGACGGTCTTAAAGAAACTTACAGAATGAACAGTATTTTAGACAGGTATATAATTCATTAAGTATTTTGCTTCAGTTGCGTTTGAATACATGTACGGTATGTAAGTGTTTGTGGGTGCATGTTGGAGGACGTGTTGATATACGTATATACATTTGTTCATATACTGTATGTATCCTTGCTTGTATGTATGTAAGATGCAATGTATGGATGTTTGCATGTTAAGGCGAACTGCGCATGCGTCCCTCCGCAGCCGTGGGCGCGCGGGCGCCTCCTCAGACGGAGCTCTCCCTCTTCCTGAGCAGCGGCGTGCTGGGGGCGTCGTCCTCGCACACCGACAGACTCGACTCCATGCTGAACATGAGCCTCCGGCCGCCCCCCTCTCGGCCTCCGGCGCGGGGGGGAGGCGGGGGCCCTCCACGCCCGCGAGGGGAGGCGGTGGGGGTCGAGGGTGGCGGGGTGGCGGCACACAGGGGCGGGGGCGTGGCGGGGAGGGGGAGGGGGGCGCCCCGCGGGAGGGAGGAGAACAGCTGTTGACTGTGTTGGGCGTCCTGCGGGAGAGGAGGCCGCTTGTCCTGCTGCTGGAGGTGGTGCAGGGGGCGCTGCTGGTGCGCGTGGTGGAGCTGGGACGACCGCAGGGGGTCGAGGGGTCCCCTGGGGGGGTCGGAGCCCCCGGAGCCGGCCACGCCCAGGCGCCCGTAGCGAGGACTCGTCTGCCGGTGAAGCAACATGGTTGAGGGCGGCGTCATTAGCCAGGGCACCAGGGACCTATATAGCTCTCAATCCTCATCGCCTCCCTGGTGCGCTGTAAGGGCTCACACACTCACCATGCGGGCGGGGTGGGCGTCGAGGGTGGGTAATGGTAGCAAACGGGCGGCAGGACAGTGGCTGGGAGGAGGGCGGGGCGGCGAGTGCCTCCTGGAGGGGGATCACGTCGGGCTCCTGGTCGCTCTCGGCCTCCACCTGGGGAAGGGGGGAGGGGGTCAGGCTCACCGGGCTCGCTGGCGTCTGGTCGTGTCTGTCGCGGGCGGGCGCTCCGTCGCCGCCTGTCCTGTCTGTCATTCCTCTCTCTCTGTCTGTCTGTCTCGCTGTCTCTCTCTCTCTGTCCCTGTCTGTCTCGCTGTCTCTCTCTCTCTGTCCCTGTCTGTCTCGCTGTCTCTGTCTCTCTGGCACTGCCTCTGTCTCGCTCTGTCATTTCTGTCTCTTTTTCTGTCACTGTCTCTGTCACGCCCTCTGTCACTGCCTGTATCTCGCTCTCTGTCACTACCTCTGTCTCGCTATCTCTCTCTCTCTCTGCCATTGCCTCTGTCTCACTCTCTGTCATTTCCTCTGTCTCGCTCCCTGTCATCGCCTATATCTCGCTCTCTGTCACTGTCTCTGTCACTCACTCTGTCATTTCCTCTGTCTCACTCCCTGTCATTTCCTCTCTCTCACTCCCTGTCATTCCCTCTCTCTCGCTCCCTGTCACTGCTTCTGTCTATCTCTCTTTCCGCCTTTTCCTGATTTTTTCTGTCTGTCCCTTGTGTCTGTCTGCTGCCTCTCTGTGTCCCCGTTTTTTGGCGTCTCATTTTTGAAGGTTTTCCGTGTCAGTGTTTTCATCTCTTTCTTTCGCTTTGCTTTTCTCGCTCTGTGTCCATGTTCTGTGTGTGTGTATAAATATATATACAAATGGTGATATATATATATATATATATATATATATATATATATATATATATATATATATATATATATATATATATATATATATATATATATATATATATATATATATATATATATATATATGTGTGTGTGTGTGTGTGTGTGTGTGTGTGTGTGTGTGTGTGTGTGTGTGTGTGTGTGTGTGTGTGTTTACACATATATACATATAATATGTAATATGTATGTGTGTATATATATATATATATATATATATATATATATATATATATATATATATATATATATGTATGTGTATATAATATATATATATATATATATATATATATATGTGTGTGTGTGTGTGTGTGTGTGTGTGTGTGTGTGTGTGTGTGTGTGTGTGTGTGTGTGTGTGTGTGTGTGTGTGTGTGTGTGTGTGTTGGTGTATATATATATATATATATATATATATATATATATATATATATATATATATATATATGTATGTATGTATGTATGTATGTATGTATGTATGTATGTATGTATGTGTTTATATACACATGCACACACACACACACACACACACACACTCACACACAAACACACACACACATACAAACACACAGACACACACACAAACACACACACACAGACACACTAAAAACACACGCACATATGCATATATACATCACTCGTCACATCTCACCACCCCACTTGTAGTGTTTAACTAACACCCGTTGTTTATTAATCAAGTTTTCATTCACACTCATTACAAAAAAAAAAAAAAAAAAAAAAAAAAAAAACAGCCAGAACAAATTTGTAAAATCATTATGGCTGGGATGGGTTCACAAAAACTAAACAAAACTTTTACATTCATTTATTTAACATAAAAGAACATAACTAAACGCTAAAACAAAACAAATTGAAGGAACAAAAAAGACAAACAAATGAATAAGTAAAAAATGGAATAAAACAAAGCTAAGAATATCAGGCCAATGAATTGAAAGAAAACAAATTGAAGGAAATACAAAATACAAACAAAAAAACAATGAATAGATAAAAGTTGAAATAAAACAAAGCTAAGAATAAAAGAACAATGATAACATAAGGGGCAATACTAAAACAACAGAATAACAACAAATTTATGAATCCTTATCATTGTTCAATATAACTGAATGACAACCAAAAATCATAGTAATAATTGCCCTTTTGTCTTATAACGTAAGTGTTTGCTTAGCCAGAAGTCTATTACAGAAAGTGAATTATCAAAAGCCTTTAAATTGCTTTTTATTAACTTGATTTTGTAAAGTTAGGACATAAATCCGACAAGTAAAATCATTCAGTTATACACTCGAACATAAAATAGCAATTAAAAAGGTAATTGCAATAATGATATATTAAGTAGAAGCAATTGAACGATAATAAAGGAGACAAACAGTATTATGCATAAAGAGAAAAGGATTGAAAAAAAACATCCATTAAAAGAGAACTTAAGAAACATACAAAGAATAAGAGACGAGGACGACTCAAACGAGGGTTCAAGACGCGCGGTCAGCCTGCCGGGCGGTCCTTGCGGCGGGCGCGGGGGTCACGGCGCCCGCACTCACTCGGCGCCCGCACTCACTCGGCGCCCGCACTCACCTGCTTGTCCCTGTCGTGGCACGGCCCCCCGCCCACTCCCCGGCGTCAGCGTCGCGGGCGGCCGCCCATCCCCGGGCGACCTGAGGCCCTCCTGCGTCGCGCTCGGGGGCGGCGACCTGTGGCCCGAGAGCGACTTCTGGTCGCTGGCGAGGGAGTGGTCGCTGGGGGAGCGCAGGTGCGCCTCCTCGGGCCGCGGGCGTGGGCGGCGCGTGCGGAAGGTGATGAGCAGGATCAGGATGATGATGATGATGACCAGCCCCGCGCCCACGCCCAGCGCCGCCGGCAGGAGCGTCGGCAGGTCCATGGCGCGGAGGTAGGGGAGGCCGGGGCCGCCGTCGTCGCCGCCGCCGTCTTGCCGCCGTCGCGCACCTCCGCCTCCGAGGGGGGGGGGGGGGGGGGGAGGAGGGAAGAGAGAGAGAGAGAGAGAGAGGGAGAGAGAGAGAGAGAGAGAGAGAGAGAGAGAGAGAGAGAGAGAGAGAGAGAGAGAGAGAGAGAGAGAGAGAGAGAGAGAGAGAGAGAGAGAGAGAGAGAGAGAGAGAGAGAGAGAGAGAGAGAGAGAGAGAGAGAGGAAAGGAGATGAGATTCGGAAAGAGGAACAAGGGCAAGGAGGGGAGACATTGAGGGGAGGGGAGGGAGAGAGAATGGAGAAGAGAGGAATGCAATTAGGAAAAGGAGAGGGATGCGTGTAAGGAAGAAGAGGGGGGGGAGGGCAGAGACACGAGAAAACGAGGAAATAAATTATTTTCTGATTCAACAAGATCTCAATGTGACTTTTTATTACAATCTATCTACAAGAGCGTCTATGAACAACGTCAATTACAATCAATAAAGATAGATGTGACTACGACTGAGAGAACTTAATAAATCATTAGCATAACGAATTAACAATACAAACTAATTTAGTACTAATGAAATACACAAAACACAAGATTTATTCTATTCATTATTATCATTACTATTATTTTTTTAGCATTGGTAGCAATACTATAATCTTTATCATTGTTATCACTAATATCACTACTGTCATTATCATCGATAGTATTACCGTTATTTTTATTATTGATGTGGTTATTGCTATCATTATTGTTATCATCATTATCACATTGTTATTATTATCAATATTGTTATTTTCATTATTACTATTATCATGAGTATTATTATCATAATTAACATTTATTATCTGATACTAACATTATTATTATTGATATTACTGTTAGTATTGTGACCATTATCATTACCATCAATATTTTGCTATATTCATTGTTATCATTATTATTATGATTATGATGTTGGTGATAAAGATGGTATCATTATCCTTATCATTATCACTATCATTATCATCATTATTTGGGATGTTACAGTGATAGCCTTTCCCAACATCCTCATCATCATCACCATCATCATAATCATCATCATCATCATCACCATCATCATCATCATCATCATCATCACCATCCTCATCACCATAATCATCACCACCTCTCCTCTTATCCTCACCATCCCTATCATCACACCAACCCCAACATCACTATTCCCAGCACGCCCTCACCATGATGTTGATAGACGGACCCGTGGGCGGCGATGGTGAGGTGGGCGGGGGTACTGGCGCCCTTGTCGTTGTGGGCGGTTATGAAGAGGTCGTACTTCCGGCCGGGGCGAAGGCCGTCCACCTGAGGGAGAGGATGAAGGGTTAATGTTGTCAGTTTCTTGGTTATTGTTCAGAGTATTATTATTGTTATCTCAGTCAAGGATTACGTATATATATACACATACATACATACATACATACATACATACATACATATATATATATATATATATATATATATATATATATATATATATATATATATATATTATACACACACACACACACACACACACACACACACACACACACACACACACACACACACACACCACACACACACACACACACACACACACACACACACACACACAACACACACGCACGCACGCACACGCGCACAGTAATAGCAATAGCAATAGTAATAATGATATTATTAGTTATTGTATTAGTAGCAATAGTAGTCGTAGCAGTAGTAGTAGTATCTGTAGGAGTACGTGAGTATACTGCAAATACTTTCGACCAATTGTTATAGTAATATCAATAGTAGTAGCAACAGTATCATTACAAACAGAGGTAGTGGTAATAGTAGTAGTAGTAGTAGTAATAAATGTAGTAGTAGTAGTAGTAGTGATAGCAGAATCAGAAGTAGTTTGTGAGTGCACTGTAGTGGTAATACCAGTAATAGTGGTAGCAGCAGTAGTAACATTGTTATCAATAGTAGTGGTAGTAGCATTAACAATAGTATTAGTAGTAGTAGCAGTAGTTGTAGTAATAACAGGAGCAGTAGTAGTAGTCCGTGAGAACATTGCAAATGCATTTAAACCCGAGAATTTCCTCACTTTCACTCCAGACTCTGAGTGAAAAAGACGAAAGACTTCATTTTCTTTTCCTTTTGTTGAGCTAAAAAGAGCATAGGTTGCAATCCAACTTTTCACACACTTCATTTTTCTTTTTTTTTTCATTTTTCGCTTTTGACTTATCTTTCTTCTCCTTAAGCAATATTAGTCTTTTTGCTTGTGCAATGCTACTATAAGATATTTAAGAATTCCAGCATGTTTAAGTACAATCTTTTCGCGTTCTGTTCTGTTGAAAGGTTATTGTAAAGTTAATTTCTATACATCTGAGTTATGCAAGACTATTGCAAAAAAAATTATTTGCAAACAAGAGATTTTTTTTTACATATTATATAATATTCAGGGAATACTTTTTCGGTGATTAAGTTATCATTTGGACATTTTATTTATTTTTTTATCCACTGCTTACACTAACAGTAATTATGATAGTAATGATAGTAATGCCTATGATAATGATAGTAGAAATACGAAATATGATGATGATAATGATGGTGATGATGATGGAATGATGATCAATAATAATGATAATAATGATAATAATGACAATAATGATAATAATAATGACAATGATAATGATAACAAAGTTAGTAAAAATGAAAATGATAACAATAATGATCATGATAATGATAATAATAACAAAGTTAGTACAATGAAAATAATAATGATAATCATTATAATGACGATGATAATGATAATAATAATGAAAAAGATAATGATGATAATGATAATGACGATAATAAAGATAACAATGATAATGAGAACAAGAATAATAAAAATGATAACAATGAAGGTATTCAAAACAACCATAATTGCTATAATGATATAATGATAATAATGATAACAAAAACAATGTCAATGATGATAATAACAGCAATAATGATATTGAAAATAATGAAGCCAATGATGATGATGATAAAGATAATAATGATAACAACAATGATAATGATAATGGGAAATGAATAATGATAATGATAATGGCAAAGGAATAATGATAATAATGATAATGACAAAGGAATAATGATAATAATTATAATAGTAATAGTGATAATAGCAATAATAATTGTAATAATGATCATGATAATAAAAAACAATAATGATAATGATTATAATAATAATAATATTGATAATAATAATAATGATAATAATAACAACAATAATAATAAAAGTATTAAGAACGATAATAATAATTATAATGATAGTGCTAAAACAGCAATAATAATAAAAACAACGACAAAAACAAAAATTAAATACACAACCAGATAGATAAAGAAAAAAAAGGCAAAAAACCCACCATGAACACGGGCGTGGAAGAGGTCACATTGAGGGCGTGAGAGCCGCCCACGACCCTCGCCTGCAGCAGGAAGGAAGTACCGGCCCCGCCCTCGAAGCTGCACACGACCCCGACCGAGGTACCACTCCCCCACGGCCCCCACTCCCCCCACGCTGCAGTTGGTGGGGGGGTCTGGCTTGCCTAAGGGGGAAAAAAGGGAAAATTATTATTTTTTCTTTTTTTTTTTCCTTTTTTAGCATTTGGAACTAAGGGGGAAAAAGTTTTTTTTCTTTTTTTTTTTTTTTTTTTTTTTTTACCTTATTAGATTTTTTTTTCTTTTTTATTCTTTTATAGTATTTGGAATTCATTTGATGATTGATGTGTTTTATAGATTGGATTGGGTTGGTGCGCTGCGAGTGCCTTTTTTTCTATTTGTTTTTATTTTTGTTTTTTTTGTGGTTGACGAATTTGGGATTTATAGACCTGTCAATAGCATTTGGTGTTTGTTATTTTTGTTTCGTAATTTCAAGTCCATATGCAAATTATGTATTTATGATCCATGAGAGAGAAGGAAGGAGGGAGGGAGGGAGGGAGAGAGGGAGAGGGAGAGGAGAGAGGAGAGAGAGAGAGAGAGAGAGAGAGAGAGAGAGAGAGAGAGAGAGAGAGAGAGAGAGAGAGAGAGAGAGAGAGAGAGAGAGAGAGAGAGAGAGAGAGAGAGAGAGAGAGAGAGAGACAAAGAGAGAGAGAGAGAGAGAGACAGACAGACAAAAGAGAGAGAGAGAAAAGAAACAGACAGACAGAGAGAGAGAGAGAGAAACAAAGAGAAGAGAGAGAGAGAGAGAAAGAGAACAGAAAAGAGAGGGAGAGAACGAGAGACAGAGACAGAGAGAGAAACAGACAGAGAGAGAGAAAGAGAGAAAGAGAGAGAGAGCGACCAAACCGTGAAATACATACGACTAGCTTATCGGCATCACCTCTTTTCCCTTCCTTTCGGTAAATGGAAGACGGAAGTAATTTCCAAGACAAATGACGAAAAGGTGATAACGAACGCCGACAAGAGAGGGCAGAGAACACCGGAGGAAGCAACATCCATCAGAGTGGTGTTGAGATTTATGGTATTTTGGCATTACTTTCTCTTTCTCTCCTTCTTTCTCCTGTTCTCTTTCTCTTCTTTCTATCCCCTTCCCCTTTCCCATCTTTTTCTCTGTTTGTCTTTCTGTCTGTCTGTCCCTCTCTGTCTCTGTCTCTCTGTCTCTCTCTCTCTCTCCTTCTCTCCCTCTCCCTTCCCTTTCCACTCCCTCGCCCTTACTCCCTCCTCCATCACCCTTCCTCCTCCCTCCCTCACCCATTCCTCCCTCCCCCTTCCTCCCTCTCCCTTCCCTTTCTCAACCCTTCTCTCCCTCTCCCTTCCACCCCCACTCCCTCCCTCCTACTTTCCCCCACTCCCTCACCCCTTTCCTCCCTCCGTCCTCTCTCCTTCCCTCCTTCCTCCCTCACCCTTCCTCCCTCCCTCCTTTTCCCCCTTCCTTCCCCCTTTCTCCTCCTCCTCTCTCCTTCCCTCCTTCCCTCCCTCCTCCCTCCCCCTTTCACCCTCCCTCACCCATTCCTCGCTCTTCCCTTCCCCTCCAACCCTCCTCTCCCTCCCCTTCCCTCCTCCTCCCTCC